TATGCACATACATTTCTCTGTGGACTGTAGAGCTGTTACACACACAGCTATGCACATACATTTCTCTGTGGACTGTAGAGCTATTACACACAGCTATGCACATACATTTCTCTGTTGACTGTAGAGCTATTACACACAGCTATGCACATACATTTCTCTGTTGACTGTAGAGCTATTACACACACAGCTATGCACATACATTTCTCTGTTGACTGTAGAGCTATTACACACAGCTATGCACATACATTTCTCTGTGGACTGTAGAGCTATTACACACACAGCTATGCACATACATTTCTCTGTGGACTGTAGAGCTATTACACACACAGCTATGCACATACATTTCTCTGTGGACTGTAGAGCTATTACACACACAGCTATGCACATACATTTCTCTGTGGACTGTAGAGCTATTACACACAGCTATGCACATACATTTCTCTGTTGACTGTAGAGCTATTACACACAGCTATGCACATACATTTCTCTGTTGACTGTAGAGCTATTACACACAGCTATGCACATACATTTCTCTGTGGACTGTAGAGCTATTACACACAGCTATGCACATACATTTCTCTGTGGACTGTAGAGCTATTACACACACAGCTATGCACATACATTTCTCTGTGGACTGTAGAGCTGTTACACACACAGCTATGCACATACATTTCTCTGTTGACTGTAGAGCTATTACACACAGCTAGGCACACACATTTCTCTGTTGACTGTAGAGCTATTACACACAGCTAGGCACATACATTTCTCTGTGGACTGTAGAGCTATTACACACACAGCTATGCACATACATTTCTCTGTGGACTGTAGAGCTATTATACACACAGCTAGGCACATACATTTCTCTGTTGACTGTAGAGCTATTACACACACAGCTATGCACATACATTTCTCTGTGGACTGTAGAGCTGTTACACACACAGCTAGGCACATACATTTCTCTGTTGACTGTAGAGCTGTTACACACACAGCTAGGCACATACATTTCTCTGTGGACTGTAGAGCTATTACACACACAGCTATGCACATACATTTTTCTGTGGACTGTAGAGCTATTACACACACAGCTAGGCACATACATTTCTCTGTGGACTGTAGAGCTATTACACACACAGCTATGCACATACATTTCTCTGTGGACTGTAGAGCTGTTTCACACACAGCTATGCACATACATTTCTCTGTGGACTGTAGAGCTGTTACACACACAGCTATGCACATACATTTCTCTGTTGACTGTAGAGCTATTACACACACAGCTATGCACATACACTCCTCAGTGGACTGTAGAGCTGTTACACACAGTTACGCACATATTCTAGTTTTCTTTTTTTAAACGTCTATATTTAGGGCAAACACTATCAGTTACCAAAAGTAGACATTTAAAAAAATTCTCACAATAATTTGTAACTATATGTAAATTTTGATATTCTCCAATACATTTAAAAGCCGGAAATAAAACTTCCTGTGGTTAGAAACCAGGATTTTGCACCAGTGTTCACAGTCGGCAAACATTAAAGTCCACGAAATGATTAAAACACCAAGTCACATGTGTACAGCAACAGTTTTAGTTTAAATAGCATGCAGATTTACAGGAATGTTTTGTGAAGACACTCAAGCTCAGTGGCCGACCATGAGTTAAATTAAAAATAAATAAATGGAAGGTAAAAAAACTTTTCCACAGCCAAACCAAATACTGTCTTGAGGTAAAAATGCGCACTTTTCTGGCATCAAGACAAATAAAAGTCAAACCAAATCAAAATGAATTATGAGTCCACAGGGAAACTTGAGCAGTCAGATGATAATGACACTGATGCACTGCAATCACATAACTGTGCATGCACTCTATGTTGATGATGACAATTTTTCAGGGAAACTTGATTTGTTTTATCAGCACTATCTGCAAATGATGTCTGTATATTCCAATCCTGAAGATGTCCATGATACAGTCATGAAGCAAGCATAATCTAAGCAGCCATCAAGCCACTCAAAATGTCATCTTTCCTTTCAGTGCATACTTTTCAAAATATTGCCACATGTACATCAAGGATAGAAGCTGAACATGTGGTGGTGGTTGTAGTATTCTGTGACAGGCTTGTCGATGAGAAACACTGCAGTCAGTCAATGATAACTCTGGGTTTGTTGCAAACTCTCTGGAACACCTGAATGGCTGCCTCAAGATCCAGGAACACAAGCTTCATCTCCTGAAGTCCTCCAGCGGTTTTGCAAGACCTTCTGTTTAAGAAGTGCATGTGGAAGATAATTAAAAAGATAAAGCAAATGCTGTTTATAAAAACAAGCTTAAATAACATCATAATATTCAGTTAATCAGAAAATATGGGGCTGGGTAAAAAAATTTACACTCTGTAGAATTTATTTTAATAACATTTTAGAAAATACATATGCATCCTTTAATGTTTTAATCTCCTTTCTTTTTAATATTCTTTTTTCATTTTCTTACTGAAAAATGTTTTTAGTCTGAACTAAAAGCCAAAAATGTACCACTGTCTTTTTTAACTTCTACATCTGAGGTGAATCTGTTTCCTTGAACGGCTACTTTCAGAGGATCAAACAGGTTAAGGTCCAAAGCAGCAAAACAAGGACTATGCTTTAATAATTCTAAACAAGGTTCTGCAGCTTGTTAGTACAGCTAGAGGTATGCAGGCATGTGTTCTCATGCAACATCACAATTCACTTGAATAGCAGTCCTCTGCAACCTAATCTGAAGCTTAAGTTCTTCCACGAGCAGCTTAATGTAATGAGTATTGTCGATTGCTTGTTGAACCGTTTTCCTGACAATGTTCCGATACTGGCCTTTGTGACATTGTGATGGTGAGGAAGCTGGATGGTAAAAAAGCCAGATGAAGACCGAGAGGGAAGATGCTGGACAGTTTGATATCATGGTATGGAAGACCATCTATGTCAGAAGTGACTGAAAGTACTAGACTGAAGGTTCTGGATAGATATGACTATCAACTAGGGCTGTACCGAATATTCGCTTCGTATTCGCTTCCGGGCCGAATAGTGGACCTGTTGACTATTCGGTATTCGGCCAAATAGTTGCGGTCGGGCCAAATACGAATAGTAGTTACCTTACACCCGCTTCTGCATACACGGCCTTAATTCTGACAACATGGAACGATTGGTTTTGTTGAAAGCTAATGCAGCTTTTCTGCATTAACTAAGCTGTCAGTGACAATTTCCAAGTTTAGTTACTTGTTATAATACTTAGGATTCTTTCATTCCTAGTTATTAGTTACCACAGACTGACTGAAGGATTCAAAACATAAAATGGACATGGAAAGAATATAAACTCGGGCCACATCCAAGTCGATAATATTAAAATCACAGAAACATATAAGTACTTGGGTGCAAACTTCAACTGCTCCAACATGCTGAGAGAAGAAATACAATTTAGAATACAATCTAGAAATAAAGTATACTATGCCCTTCAATATCTGCTAAAGTCAAAGTGTCTGTCTCGCAACACCAAGATCAAAATATATAAAACGTTGATTAGACCAGTCGTTTTGTATGGCTCTGAAACTTGAAGCAGAAATAAAAGAGATTGGCTCTGAAACTTGAAGCAGAAATAAAAGAGATGAGGCCTTATTACAGGTTTTCGTAAACAGTCTTATGACAAATCTGTGGACCCATCAAAGATGCTAACAGCGGGAAATGGAGGATACATGCTGCAGGAGATCACATATTGTGTCGGGGCATAATCGCCAACGTCAATCGGCAAGGCACCTGATGATGATGATACACTTTTGTATTCGGCCGAATAGTTGGTCGCACTATTTGTATTCGGCTGAATAGTGAAAATCACTATTCGGTACAGCCCTACTATCAACGCCACACAGCAGTGACTTGAAAATAAAGGCTGTGGACAGACATGACTACCAATGCCACACAGTATGGACTTGAAGATAAAGGCTGTGGACAGACATGACTACTAATGCCACACAGTATGGACTTGAATATAAAGGCTGTGGATAGACATGACTACCAATGCCACACAGTACTGACTTGAAGATAAAGGCTGTGGACAGACATGACTACCAATGCCACACAGTATTGACTTGAATATAAAGGCTGTGGATAGACATGACTACTAATGCCACACAGTATTGACTTGAAGATAAAGGCTGTGGATAGACATGACTACTAATGCCACACAGTATGGACTTAAATATAAAGGCTGTGACAGACATGACTACCAATGCCACACAGTATGGACTTGAAGATAAAGGCTGTGGACAGACATGACTACTAATGCCACACAGTATGGACTTGAATATAAAGGCTGTGGATAGACATGACTACCAATGCCACACAGTACTGACTTGAAGATAAAGGCTGTGGACAGACATGACTACCAATGCCACACAGTATTGACTTGAATATAAAGGCTGTGGATAGACATGACTACTAATGCCACACAGTATTGACTTGAAGATAAAGGCTGTGGATAGACATGACTACCAATGCCACACAGTATTGACTTGAATATAAAGGCTGTGGATAGACATGACTACTAATGCCACACAGTATTGACTTGAAGATAAAGGCTGTGGATAGACATGACTACTAATGCCACACAGTATGGACTTGAATATAAAGGCTGTGGATAGACATGACTACTAATGCCACACAGTATGATGGGCTACAGACTGAAGATCAGCCTTTCAAAATCCAAACAAAAACTGCATGCATTAATTCTTCAGTTGATGGTTGACTTTTAATATAACCAGACTGTGGATACATTGTGAACCAGATTTAATGACACCATTCTAATACAATTTTTGACAATATTTTGGCTAGAGAAGAATACAGAGAAAACTCAGGCAGGTAAGGAACATTCATAGAAATGTAGAAACAATATAATAATGCAAAATGGTAAATAAATCAGTAATGATTGACAATTAGTTGCAACTAAATAAAACATGAAAGCACTCACCATTATATACTTTAAGTATTGCTTCACACACAAATTTGTACTGACTCTGAAACAGTCCAAGAAACAAAATTATATTTAATCTATTAAATAGTATTGGCATTTTTTTTTCCTGAATCCACCCATGAAAACAAATTCATGCCAAACGACCCTCACTTTATCAAACAGTAGTAACTACCCTGTTTTTGCAACACAAAAAAGGTCTTATTTTAATTTTTACTTTAAAAAATGCACTAGCGCTTATTTTCAAGGGGTGTCATGTCATTTTTTTCCCCATTCAGATACAAAAATCTACATTTATGTGTGTTCAAAATTCTACATTCATTCTAAGAGAGTTATGTCAACATCTTTTGGAACACCAACATAACTCTTTAAATCCCTAATTCTAACCTAAATTTGTCTGTGGTCTCTGTACTTCAACTGGCCATTTCCCACCAAGTCTCTCATTCTAGCTGACAATCTTAACGAGGGCTTATTTTCGAATTAGAGCTTATATGAAAAATATCCAGAACAATTCTGCTATGGCTTATTTTTTGGGGTAGGACCTATTTTCTGGGAAACATGGTAACTTCTCTCAGTATATTTTCCAATGCATTTCAGTCAGGTGACTGATTTTGCTTTGTTTTCACTGCAAACAGACATCTCCATGTATGTCTCCTCCTAAAGATCACACAAGAATTATCAGGACAGTCAAACTCAATAGCACCAGTGAGGATCCACATTTTCCACATTTTCATTTGCAAGAATCATACATGCTATTAATAAACCTGGGGGGGGGGGGGGGGGATGTATTATTTGTGAATTACTTTTTTAACAAGTACATTTTGTCTGGGCAGCAGGTGTCCTGCAATTTGAAGGGATTTTTTTTTTTTAAATTTCCAACTGCTAGGGAATTGTTACCAAAGAGAAGGATCCAGAATTTATTTCCTTGTTTGAGAAAGCAAAATGAAGGACCTGATTGATGGAAGTGTACAATTTTGTTTTCTTCTTTGGTTAAAATTCAAACCTTCATATTGCTTGAGCCAGAAGTGGACACTAACATTTGATCTACCAAATCTTTTTTTTCTTGGACATCACTGGTATTTTTTTTTTTAAGCTTCTCGTGTGGGTTCCACGACCCCATGTTGAAAATGGGAAACGAGCGAGGCAAACCCACAGTCACTGACAAGCATATAAGAAATGCGACCAATTAGGGATTTGCAAATTTTGCAGTGCTGGCCTGAAAGGCACAGACATCACAGCCTTTCAGTAGACCATAACACAACCTCTTAAATTCTCTTTAAAAGGTGAATACAGAAAAGATTCTCTGAAGCCAAATCAATGCCAGCATTACAGTGATGAGAAAAACAAATTAGCCTAGAATACAAACTGAACTCCCTATCACTGTGTTGGTAAGTTGCTTTTCAACATTATCTTCTGCCAGCATTATATTACCAGTGCAAAACTGGGTAATGTAGTAGTGGCAAGGTAATACGACAAGAGGCAAAATCCTGTTGGGCAGTGGGATGGGACAGATGGTTTGGGTGTGAACAAGACTACCTCCATACAACATACTTGAAGCATTCACCTTTAGACATAGGTGGAAACAGCAAGAGGCATACTGTGTATATGATGGATTACTGAAATAGCAGAGTTATTGTTTTTTTAAACAGTTTCTTCCTGATATTCTTGGAACACTTGGAGAGGAGAAGCGAGTTAAGTGTTAAGAGCAAAAATCAGACGTGTAGGGTTCTAATCACACTGGGCCAGGAGTGCAGCGACTGGCCAGGAGGCACTGCAGAAATCAGAAATTCAAAAACTGATTCATGAGAATTCCCACCCAGGTATGTGATTATCAGCACAGATGGCTCTGTGTTGAGAGGCAGAAAGTGCATAGTGATCATTGTAAAAGTGCATAGGGATCAGTGTAAAAGTGCATAGGGATCATTGTAAAAGTGCACAGGGATTCATTGTAAAAGTGCACAGGGATTCATTGTAAAAGTGCATAGGGATCCATTGTAAAAGTGCACAGGGATTCATTGTAAAAGTGCATAGGGATCCATTGTAAAAGTGCACAGGGATTCATTGTAAAAGTGCATAGGGATCCATTGTAAAAGTGCACAGGGATTCATTGTAAAAGTGCATAGGGATCCATTGTAAAAGTGCACAGGGATTCATTGTAAAAGTGCACAGGGATTCATTGTAAAAGTAAATAGATATCGCTTAGTGCAACAAAGCCTAAGATATGTTACTTTAACCTAGTTTGAGAGTGGAGGTGGAGGCAGTCATTTCAGCTTTCTGCTGGCTTGAGAAACAGCTGTGCACACATGTCATGACTGTAACAGCCTAAAAAAGCATGCTGAGAAAGGAAGTGTAAAGAATGCTCTGTAAAGAGTAGCAAGCATTGCTTTAGTGCTCCCTGGTAATTAGCATTCTTAGGATCTTTTCTCAGAAGCATTATGTGTGTTGAAAAATGAACAGGCAGACAGAATGGCTAGTGTTGCACCACTGTGCAGTGAATTTTAATTTAACATGACAAGCTAGATGTAGTCAAGGCCCTTTAAGAGCAAATAAGTGAACAAGTGGAAGGGCAAGGCATGGAGAATGGTGCAGGGGCAACCAGGGGGGGAGCTGGGGTTCTAAAATAACAATGAAAGATACAGCAAGAAAAAACAGACCGAAATAGCATGCCGTAACTAAAAGAGACAGGAAACTGATAAAGAATAACCAAAAAATAAAAGAATGTTTACTTACAGATGTCTGAATAAGCATTGCTCTTTGTTCTCTCATCTGACGAACAAGCGACAGTGGAAAAACCTGCTGGTTGGATTCTATAAGACACATGGCAGTTTCCATTGTGATCAGTACACCTGTTCTCCCAATGCCAGCACTTGTGGACAAATTCATCAACAACTGATTTAACATACATTTCAGAGACACAACTGAAGCTCAGCAAACAGATTTACATACATAAATAAAATGTCACTGCCTGTGGCTTAGGCGTTGCAATAGCGCTTCATAATGGCAGGGTACCGGGTTCTAACCCAGCTGCAGGTGATTTGACAGCAGACTGTTTTGCGCTGGTTGTTGTGCTTCAGGCTCTAAAGGTCATACATACATTTTGCGGCTACGCCGTTCAATTCATAAATGAAAAATTTTATCAAGACCAATGGGGACTGTCGGTGCAGCTGCAGTGTTTGTACTTTGGTAATGCTCTCAGCATGTTGCTAGCCATTCTGCAGAGAAAAACTTAGTCCTAAATGATAAAATTTGGTGCTATAAAGCTGATCCTCTCGACTTAAACCTTTTAAACTTCAAATAATAATCATCATCATAAGTCCAGTCGACAGGTATGAGCAATCAAACCTAAACACAGCTTTCATTCTCTAGCACTGTGTCTCTATTCATGTACTAACGTCTTTACGTGCAATGATGCAGGACTTTTAAAAAACAATTAACTCTTTATTTCTTGGTCCAGTTCTTGTATTCCCACAATGTGGCTAGAAATATTGACTGTCTTCATCACAGTTCAATTATAACTAAAATTAATGGATTTTCTGCCTAAATAAACTGTGACCATTAGTATTAATTTTCATGTGCTAACGTGCTTCTATTAAACGCACTTCAACATCTTTTAACTGTTTTCTGAATATACCGACAGAATTTGTAGGTTTATACTACTATTCTAGAGGAGGTGATGATAAAAAGCACTGTAGGAGGAAAAGATGCTAACAAAGAAGGAGATCGTGACAGAATAAAAGAAGACGGCAGTAGAAGAATGGGATACAGAAGAGAGAAAAGAAGAGATGATGACAGAAGAGGTAGGGTCTGTGACAGAGTAAGAGAAGATGGCAGTAGAGTGTGGGAGATGACAACAGAATGGGATGTGCCCACAGAGAAGAAAGAGAAGAGAAAAGAAGAGATGATGACAGAAGAGGAAGGGACTGTGACAGAGTGAGAGAAGATGGCAGTAGAGTGTGGGAGATGACAACAGAATGGGATGTGCCCACAGAGAAGGAAGAGATAAGAAAAGAAGAGATGAAGACAGAAGAGGAAGGGACTGTGACAGAGTGAGAGAAGATGGCAGTAGAGTGTGGGAGATGACAACAGAATGGGATGTGCCCACAGAGAAGAAAGAGATGATAAAAGAAGAGCAAGACTGACAGAAGAGGAAACAGCAAAGAATGGACAAATAATTTTTCGCTGCTCATTCCAATAAAATTATGGCACACCTTCCTACCTGCAGTGAACAATAGTGGGATCAGCCATCCCTTTTCTGTTCTGTCGAACAAGCATAACAAAATGGAGGAAGTCACTGGGGTCATCGGGGACTCCATGGTCTGGCCAAGCAATGTACTGCATGTGTTTGATAAGTCTTTTTTCACCCGTTTCTAAGTGGTTCAAGCTGAAATCTCGAAATGAGAAAGAATGGGTGTCCTCCTCCTTGACACAGGTGACCTGAAGGGTTCCAAAGTCTTCGGTCTCAAACAACTGGGGCCAGTACTGATGACATTTAACGCGGCCTCTTTCAACCTTGGTGGTCAACATGACCACAAGGGATGACCGCTGCTCCCATATCATCTAAAGAAAAAAAAGTAAATGTGTGTCAGATTAATACATTTCTCTAAAAGTGATACCCACACACACACACACACAAAAATGGGTTGGCATCAAAGAAATAATCCACTGACAATAAATAATCTTCCCTTTGCTGTTGTGGTTTTTGTCCATAAAGTCTCTTTGCTCTTGTGTTTCTTCCCCTTTCACCCTATGTTAAGCTTCTTAGTGACAGTTCAGTTGATTATTCTCTTAATTAACCTCTCTGTTCATTATTAAATAGTTTATGGAATAAAGAAAGCAACTGGATAACATCAAGATGTTTACGATTTCACCCACTGAGTACCAATTGGTCAGTACAAATATGAGTGTAGCACACATGCCCGATGTGCCACTGGGGTAAAAGGGTCCTTCCACTGTTTTACTTAATTTTGCTAATAACGAGATAATGTCATTAAGATTCAGAGAAGTGAACACTTTAAAAATTACATTTTGCTAAATAAAAAGCAAACAATGACTTGTCTTCTTCTGCTTTTATCCCTCACTGGAACATAGGACCCCAACCAACTCGTACTAAACTATCCTATCATCTGTAAATTTGTGAACCTTCATCTTCTCTCCATAATATTGACCACTGTCTCAAGTTGTCTTCTATGTGTGCTTTTAGGTCTCCTTCCATCTCTTTCTGCTAATTCATTTAATTTCTCCTACTCCTTTTGCTGTTTTTCCAATGTATATATTGTCCTATTATTTCAAGGGTCATTTATGGAATCTTCATAGGTAAAAGGAGGTAAGTTGAAGATCTTGACTACTTTTATCTGTATCTGAACTGCTTCATAATTCTTCTAGGAGAAGAACCTGCCCCTTCTTACCTGCCTGGTATTTTTCTTGAGATTTTTAAAGTATGAGGTATAAAGTAAATACTAAACTTAGCTGCCTCTTATGACATGCTAGGTACATTAGTATGGTACTATTCTTTGATCCCAAAAAGGACCTGGTAACAGATGAATGATAGAGGAACTAGATTCAGGGAAGAAGAAGTTGAAATTCAGTGATCTAGAAATGAACAAATGCATAGGCTCTAAGTTTTAAGCTTACAAGACAAATGAAATTTATTGGCCACATTTTGAGGCGCATTAATCTTACACCCAAAATTCAAAGAGCAGAAAGTAAAAGACAGTTGAGTAAAAATATAGTCAGTGGGGGAAAAATCTTTACTTTAAAAGGGTAACAAGCATAGTCTTACAATGAAGCAGACTGCTGAAGACATTGCACCAAAGGGGACCAGCACTCGGTAACTCCAGACTCTCTTAAGCCACCCCCCCCCCCCCCCTTAATCGCATGAACATTAACAATGCCTCTAGTTTTATTTCAGGCCACTGGATCTCAACCCACCAGATGTTCCAGCGACGAGAAGCCACATCTCTCAATCTATCTGTCACTCTCATTCTCCCGACCTAACTATCACATCTCCTGGCACATTCGAGCAAATTTGATCTCTCATTTGCAATCTATCTTACCTCCACTACTTCTCCACACTCCATGGGGGGAAAAAAAAAAAAAACGGGCTGATCACAACAACAGATTGTGACGGCCCTGGTTGTCCTGAAAAGGAACATTGTATAGAGGCGTTATGACCTGGTGTTTGTTTGGCTTTTTCCGGCGGCTTACAGATCGGCAACCAAGCAGCAACAGGGCACCAGCACAGCGACCAGCACGAGGCAAGCCAAGCACCAGCAACAGTCAGCTAGTACCCGTCGACATCAACGCAAAGAGATCTGGATCACACCAGAACCCAAAACCGCAATCACAGCAAGGAAGCAAACAACCATAATATCAGGTGTGACTACACACCACGAATAAAAGGAAACCATATAAGACAGCTAAGGACCCTTCTACGATGTAGCAGGCCTCCGGGCGGCTGAAAGAGGATCAAATTTGAAATTTTTCTTGGACAACTGGCATTGGCATTGGTCTTACAATGAGAAAGAGACAGACAGGCAGCAGTCAGTCATAAGCAAAAGACAGAAAGCACTGGGGGTCACCATCCAATGTAGAGACTGAACTTGACTGACTGGTTAAATAATCTGAAAATCCAAGCTCTACTCACATTCTGTGGCCTTAATTATTTAAAGAAAAAAAAAGCAAGAGAACCGAAAGAATCTACATAAGATTACAGCTACTACTAACTAAAATATTCCAGTTGTTCACTGTATTTTTTAATGTATAATCATTTCTATTATGCTCACCTTGGAGATAATGTTGTTAATGCCCACTGGTTCTTCTACTTTTTATTTTAATCAAAAAAGTAAATAAGAACTTAACTCGTATTTCAAGACAGCAAAAAACAAGAACAAGCCTTCAAAGACAACAGCAATTTTTTTAACAAACCAACCTGCCAGAAGTCTGTGCAAGTGTTAGGCAAGGGACCTTGTGCAGCAATGTATCTGTTGATAATTCCTGAATCAGGAATTTCCATCTGAAATGAAAAGAGGAGACAGCATTATTAGATATGATAATTTTATGTCAAGAATCACTAAATCATTCTGACTCACCACAATTTCTTTCAGTAGGCATAAATAATTGTGACAACCAGGGAAACCAACTGGTATTCTATCACAGATAACATTTTAGTAAACATGCTGACAATTAACAAGACAAAGTAACATCATAAATAAAAATAATCATGCATCGGTGTGAAATGCATCTCAACTTGTATAACTTAGCACTGATAGACAAAAAAGGTTAAAGTTGAGAGGATCGACTTCCTTGCACCGGGTTTACCCCATATGGGTCGGCCTTGCTCCGCCAGAACCGCTAGCCGCCTACCAAGAGCCTCACACAAAGCATGAACTCATAGCTCTGGCGACGATCTTCAGCGATCTCTATAAAACTTGCACCCATAATTTGAGCGGCGCAGTTGTGGAATGAACCCACAGCCTTCAGAGCACAAAGCAAATGGCTTGACCATTTCACCATGTCAGAGAGAACTATAGTGTAAGATTAAACAATGTATAGTAGGAGTAAAAATAAGTGTAAAGTGTGTGTATATCAAAAATAAGCTGCCGACAGAAATAAAGAACAATTGTAAATACTGAAGGTTAAAGGGAGAATAATAAAATATACAAAAATATTATTTTTAAAAAGTACATAAATTATAACAATTATTATGCAGGAAATGGGAAGCAAACAACTGTCATAATCATATTAAGCATACTGATGTATTTAAACATTTTATGACAAGTGAATACTAACTAGGATTAGATTCATGTGACAGTTTTTTGTTTTTTTTATAAACTGTTGTGGTCTTTGGCCTGTGGTATGAGAGTTTAACCATAGAGGATCTAGGGCTTCACTACATAATATGCCCAAAGGCAGCTGTGATGCACTACAGCCAATCTTCACAGTGGAGATGGCACATAATTGGTTAAGAGCCAATTTGGTTTTTTCGTCCAATAGTTTTTTTCCTTATTAGTTTAAAACAAACTGCAGCTAAACTTTAGTTTAAAATATTGAAAATAAGCTTAACAACAAAAAGAAAAGAAAAATCCTATTTCATTTGACCAAAAATGTTCTTTGGTCAAGATATTATTTACTGTCCTTCAGAATATCTAATTATGCTGATTCACAATTACGCCAGTAGGCCAAATGATAAAAGTCCAAATGTTGTTGGAATGGCAACAACAAAAACAACAATGATGTCTCACTTACATTGACAAAGTTGGCATTGATATAATCCCCAGAGGCAGCATTTGTCAACACTACTCTGGTTTGGTCATCTGGGGACAACAAGCAGACTCATGACAGGTCAAGGGTTTCTGTACAGTGTGACAGTTTTAAATGAGATCATTTTGTTAACAGTTGGTTTGTGAATGGCTGATGACAGTACAATAACGATGTTATGTGTTCACTTTCTTTGACTGACTGTGCACTGTCTAGATAAGAATGTATAAAGGAATTTTTTTTTTAAATACAGACATGTGTCTTTTGTGAAATTGTTTATCTATGGCAACTACCTGAATGTCAAGAGTAGTGTATGGTATGACTGTAAAGGTCTATGTGTATGGAAAGTGGGTTGTGGGGGAGGCGGGGGGAGGAGGTCCCTGTTTTTATAAGTGAACATATTCTATAACCATGAATTTGATGTCTTTTCCATGGTTGATGAGGTTGAATTTCAAGAACCAACACCAAAACACTTGAGACATCCCCATAAGTGCTCCATCCCTCTTCGTCAGCCGGCGAATAGTTAAAACTCTGATTGTACCAATAGCAGTTTGAGAGTATGTTCATCTTGCTTTTTTCTATGAGTGTAGTGGGTGGCCCAAATCCCCTGGCCACTCATGGTTGCACCATTGTCTGCAGGCCGTGATGATCTACACTTTCTTGCATACTTTTCGAAGGCATATAGTGTGAAAACGACTCGCTTAAATTCGATGCACTTTTCCCGGATCACTTCCCTAAAGTTGGTAAAGCAGTGGAAAATTCTCACTTTTCATTTGGCTTGAAGAACATGTTCAGGTTGTTAAATTAAGGGAAATTCCTTCTTCTTATTTTAAAACTAATTTTTGGTCTGTAAGTAAGCTTCAAATGGATTTCTCCCTACTTTGGATGTTGTTCCGAAGATTAGACCTCCATGCCAAATTCGCTACTGTTAGATCTGAAATTAACTGCTGTTTTGCCATCATGCTGAGCCTCACAGCATCAGATAGAAATCATATCATTTGCTACCTTAAAACTGGTGCACAGTCTATCAACTGCAACAACATTTCGGTTAATTGGTGTCATCAGAGACCTTCCAAGGGCAGAAAGACCAAGAGTGACCACGCAAAGGCAAGACAGATTTATTAACACCATTCATTTGTAGAACCATTTCACGCTCTCAAAAAACAACTGACACCATAAGTGCATTAACAAATAGCAGAAACATTTCTCCAAACACAATTTTATGCAGTCTGAGGGAACAAATGTATGTCCAGCCTGTCCGACGCCCTTGGCTTCAGCCACGCAACATCCAGAATAGATGTCAGTGGGTAAATGTGCATGTCAGATGGCCTCAAAGCCAATGGCATCTATCATGTTCTCAGACCCATCGAGATTCCTGGTGGCCAAATCAGGGTGAACAGATGTCCACATGAACTATATATTCATAGCTGCATACGCAAGGCTTTGAAATTTGGTGGGGGTGCAGTGATTTTGTATGCACAGAAACAACAGAGTATTTTAGAACAGCTGGTAACAATTTGGTGGAAAATACAGCGCAATCGTACATGCATAATAATCCAACACCACATGCTGTGCCATTTATTCAAAGTCATGGACCAAACTTTATGTTTATGTGTTCCAATGTGGTTCCCCACAAGCAAGCACTGCATTTCTCTTCCCACAACATTACTTACAATTACCATGTTCATACACCTGATAACCTTGGTACATTATTATGTCAAACATACTCACAGGCACATCTCACAGGCATAAAAACAAAAGTCAGGTACTAACATGGAGATATGTCCCTGTATCTGTTTTTGCTAAGATTGGCATCAAGTTTTGCAGCATTCAATGTCAGTCCTGGCTTTTTGCGGTACAGTTGCTGCAATCAGGACACAAAATATTATCAGTGAAAACCGGAAGAAAATTTCAAACAATCAGTAAATGATTCATAAACCATTAATTCTTTTTCCAGACAGAGCAACAACATAAAGCAATGCAAATGAGCACCCCATTAAACTTGCTTAACAAGCAGCAAGACATCTTCTATGCCAACCAAAACAAACTTTTCTACTTCTTTTTCAGTTTTAAGTCAACATATTTTAACTTCACAGCATGTATTTAAGTGTGTGGTAATCATACATGTTATAAAAACTACCATATACATTAGAATTTTTTTCACAATACTTTTCTTTTAGTTCACATCTTGGAAGAAAGTACAATACTGGGGGTGGAAAGGGTGGGGAGGGGGGGGGGGGGGGGGGGTTAGGGTTAGTGGGTGTTACTTTCAAGCCTTAACACCACTATTGGACTTTCCCAGGAACTCCTAACAAAATCTCTGATTCCTCGAGTTAAATAAAAGAAAATAACTTTTTTAACCAAAAGGAGTATTCCAGAGGTGGCACATCCCCTATACTGGCTGATCGGAGTCCATGTGATGCTCGTGTTTTTCAAAGTCCATACAAGGTTTTGTAATTTTAACCTGCACACTACAATAAGGCAGTCACAATATTTTCATTATAAAAAACTTTCATAGGAATACTTTTATCACTGCTATTATGAGTGTCAATATAGTTACTGCGGTGGAGCGTGGGAACAAAATGCCATAGGCAGTGTTGTGAGGAGAGGGCAAATCAGGAAGGGAGTGAGAATGAATGAAGAAGTGAAGCAGGAATGATGAGAGCAGAGCGTCTGTGAAGAAATAACACTAAATACAAATGATAGCAACTATGATCCTGAAATTCCAGGCTATAATTGTGGAAGACTTTTCTTAACGTGGGCTGGTCTTGCTGGTCACACTGGTCATCGCAATGGGCTGTAAGTCCTATGCCTCCTCATGGCACAATATAACAACTGTAATGTGAGAAGACTGAATGGTGCTAACAATAAGATCTGGAATAAGGAAGTGCTGTCTTACCATACAAGTTATGAAGCAGGTTATCTTGACTGCACTTCTGACATGTCTAAAGGTTCCCTCTTCAGCATACACATTTGCATCTCACAGTTTACTTTGCCAGTCCTGTGTTGGCTGACAAGACTTCCTTATGTCTAGTGTGCCTCCCATGATTAGCTATGCTGATCTGTACTCCCAGTTCTTACATTATTAATTTCAGAACTACGCTGAGTGGGGAATAATTAAATTAACATTCTCTTATTTTTTCCCCTTTTTTTTCCCAATCTGAATACATTTTAGACCATCTTGTACAAATGCTGTAAGCACTAGCATAAACTAGAATATATGGTTAAGTAAAAAAAAATTATGATACAAAAGAAAAATCAAAGGACCAAAAAGAGTTGCACTAAACAAGGAGCTGTAAAACCAAAAAACCTTAAATAAGAAAAAACTTTAAACTGTAGGATACAAAAAAAAAGTAAGATATGAAATCAATTTATTATAATAAAAATAAAATTTAAATTCAATGTTACAGGAATGAAATTATAATTAAAGTAATATGTGAAAAATATAGTATTCACTGAAAAGGAAGCCAGAGCTGATTTTCTAAATTCAACTTGTATTAGGGAATGTACGTACATTAAAAAAAAAAATACAACAGTCTAAAACTTATACTCTCTCATGACTATAATCCACTTTTTGAACAACAACCATGAAAGAAACAATGATTTTAACAACATCGGTGATAAACTGTATCTAATGTATACTCACTTCAAACTGAGCTATGGCTGCACCACTTTCCAAACTCTCCTGTAAAAGCATGAGGGATGACTCCAGTGTGTTAGCACTGGAAGACGTTGAAGCAATCTGATGTGTTTCTGGTACGTAAGAATAGTCCGGCTCATCCCCAGGGTCCTCGTTGATTTGAACTGCAATTAATACCATAAAGGAATTTCATTACATTTTAACTCATGAAATAAGCAAAATCTTCATTAAAAACAAAATCATGGTACATGATGAAAATTATACTTTTTTGATAAAAAAGAATAATTTTAATGAACATTTATCTTCACATGTTTTTATTTTTTATTTTTTAATTAATTCAGTGACAAACATTTTGCTGTATCTATCATTTGAGCTTCATAACTTAAATGTTTATACAAGTCATAAAATTATTGTAATTAAATAACTCCAAAATAACTGCATTTTAATATAACCGATATAAACACATTTTATGAATTAGTTATTTTGAACATAAAACTAACAAATATGTCAGAGATAGAATTTTAAAAATTTGCAGGACATCAGGGGCTTCTCTTGGTAGCAATAAAATGTCCCAAACTAGCTTAGTGCACTCACATGGTGAGACATGATGTGACTGCAAAGACTTCTTCATGGAACACTAAGGTTCGTCGAAGAATTGAATGGCAAAGAAGAATCTGGAATGGCAACATCAAGAAATGAACAGAACTAAGTTATCATACACTTGTTCAACAAGCGGAAAACAGAGAAAGATGGTTGGGTTTTGTGTGCTAGTGTTCCCGTCGACACACCTCCAAGACTCTAATAGGTCAAGAGTTATGTTCTGTTATAACAGCATTCTAGCCTTTGCTAATTAAGGTGGAGCACCTATTACTTTGCCCAGTGCAATAATTATCTGTACATTATCAGTAAACACTACTAGTTCGTCAAATTTTACCATTTGGTCTGACAATCAAGGTTAATTCTCCCGAGTGGGTCTCCCTTGAAGCTTTTATAAACATCACAACCTGCAAAATGCAAGCAAGAAATGTAATCAACTTCACAAACTCAACTGTTACGGATTATTAATTTCAAACAATTAGCTGTTACTAAAGAATTTTCAGTGGTCAGGCAGGTGTAATTAAAATGAAATTCTGCCAGGGACCTGCTACAAGATGAGAAATAAAAGATTGTCTTGCAGTTCATTCATTATCCTATTACGCCATTGTATGTCACATACACTTGCAGTTTATTTCCCTATTCCGTTCTATCCTGTATAATCACTTTGAAAACATGGGCGGAATCCAGTCCAGCAGCTTTGGTTTCTTTCATTAACATTCGTCTCAGGGTTTCTCTTCATTTCAGGGTCATCATTTCCTCAGTCCATCTATTTTCCATGTAAGTGCTTTCTTGTTGATTCTCTGTTGTCTCCTCTCAGAATGTGTCCAATAAAGTGCCACTTTCATAATTGTTTCTATCGCAAATAATTTGTTACAAAGTGGGGGACCTGGCTCCATGCCCAACCCTCCTTCTTCTTCATCTGGGTTGGGGACTGGCAATGTCTTGCAGTAACAAACACATTTAGCCCATGGTGTAAGGCTTTAGGGTCATACACAATGTAGCCTGATGAAATAGGTGTCAAGGATATTTAACTTGGTGAACAGATCTGGAGAGCACAATAAGAACAATCTCATCCTTGATGTGCCAGCTGCTTACCAAAATTACAGGTCTAAAATCATACCCTAGATATGTAAATCAAGCTTCTTTATAACTGAAAACATATTTTGCATAATTGTATCAGTCTCTGACTAATTAACTGGTCTGCAAGGTCTGGTCACACCTTGCGCTGCAGCCAGCAATGTTGGAGACAGCCAGCAATGTTGGAGGCAGCCAGCAATGTTGGAGACAGCCAGCAATGTTGGAGACAGCCAGCAATGTTGGAGACAGCCAGCAATGTTGGAGACAGCCAGCAATGTTGGAGACAGCCAGCAATGTTGGAGACAGCCAGCAATGTTGGAGACAGCCAGCAATGTTGGAGGCAGCCAGCAATGTTGGAGACAGCCAGCAATGTTGGAGACAGCCAGCAATGTTGGAGACAGCCAGCAATGTTGGAGACAGCCAGCAATGTTGGAGACAGCCAGCAATGTTGGAGGCAGCCAGCAATGTTGGAGGCAGCCAGCAATGTTGGAGACAGCCAGCAATGTTGGAGACAGCCAGCAATGTTGGAGACAGCCAGCAATGTTGGAGACAGCCAGCAATGTTGGAGACAGCCACCAATGTTGGAGACAGCCAGCAATGTTGGAGACAGCCACCAATGTTGGAGACAGCCAGCAATGTTGGAGGCAGCCAGCAATGTTGGAGGCAGCCAGCAATGTTAGAGGCAGCCAGCAATGTTGGAGGCAGCCACCAATGTTAGAGGCAGCCAGCAATGTTGGAGGCAGCCAGCAATGTTGGAGACAGCCAGCAATGTTGGAGACAGCCAGCAATGTTGGAGACAGCCAGCAATGTTGGAGACAGCCAGCAATGTTGGAGACAGCCAGCAATGTTGGAGGCAGCCAGCAATGTTGGAGACAGCCAGCAATGTTGGAGGCAGCCAGCAATTTTGGAGACAGCCAGCAATGTTGGAGACAGCCAGGAATGTTGAAGACAGCCAGCAATGTTGGAGACAGCCAGCAATGTTGGAGGCAGCCAGCAATGTTGGAGGCAGCCAGCAATGTTGGAGACAGCCAGCAATGTTGGAGGCAGCCAGCAATGTTGGAGGCAGCCAGCAATGTTGGAGGCAGCCAGCAATGTTGGAGACAGCCAGGAATGTTGGAGGCAGCCAGGAATGTTGGAGACAGCCAGCAATGTTGGAGGCAGCCAGCAATGTTGGAGGCAGCCAGCAATGTTGGAGACAGCCAGCAATGTTGGAGACAGCCAGCAATGTTGGAGACAGCCAGCAATGTTGGAGACAGCCAGCAATGTTGGAGACAGCCAGCAATGTTGGAGGCAGCCAGCAATGTTGGAGACAGCCAGCAATGTTGGAGACAGCCAGCAATGTTGGAGGCAGCCAGCAATGTTGGAGACAGCCAGCAATGTTGGAGACAGCCAGCAATGTTGGAGACAGCCAGCAATGTTGGAGACAGCCAGCAATGTTGGAGGCAGCCAGCAATGTTGGAGACAGCCAGCAATGTTGGAGACAGCCAGCAATGTTGGAGACAGCCAGCAATGGTTGGAGACAGCCAGCAATGTTGGAGACAGCCAGCAATGTTGGAGACAGCCAGCAATGTTGGAGGCAGCCAGCAATGTTGGAGACAGCCAGCAATGTTGGAGACAGCCAGCAATGTTGGAGACAGCCAGCAATGTTGGAGACAGCCAGCAATGTTGGAGACAGCCAGCAATGTTGGAGACAGCCAGCAATATCGAAAGTATTAAGCAATGTTGGAGGCAGCTAGCTCTCCTAGGAGTGTAAACACAAAAACATGTAGCCTGCTGCTATCCCGTGACCACACAGGCTAACCCCACTTCCTCATGGTATGTTGTGGGAATTTAAGTGAGTGCACAGACTAACGATTTACAAACAAGCCAAATAATTTCGTAAGGAATTAAAAATGTGGTCTTATAGAAGAATCCTTAGAATTACTTGGACAGCCAACACTTTAATTGATACATGCTGCTGACGATTGCAGACTAAGGAGAGGCTTGAACCCTATGCTAATCTGCAAGACACTTGAAGATGATGATGATGATGATGATGATGCATGCTAATGGGGAAACGACCACTTGGGCTGCAATGAGCCCCATCAGGTTTGAAGGGACCGTGTTTACTAAATATTTCTTTCAGCTCGCACGCAACCGCGCGCGCGCACGCACGCACACACAATGCATAATATAAATATACTTAAAAGGCATTACAGGGCTCAGTGCAGGTTAAGAGGAAGAAAAATCTGGATCCAAAATCCATCTGACTGGAGAGTCCTTGAATATGCAAATATCAAGTTCAGGTCACCTGACTATCAGAGTTGGACAGACATGAAAAGATAGTCAACAGCAACTGGTGACACAGCAACGTGCAGTATGATGATGAGGTACTCGTACACACAGTTAAAGTCATGTTACAAATACCTGTTCATGCGTGTGTTGTGACACATCCCTCCCATTGATGAAAAGCACCTGGTCTCCCTCATTAAGTCGTGGGATGGCCAGGTCAGCCGAAGTATTTGGAGCAACTCTGGACACAATGATAGGCATGCCTTGATCTGCTCCACCCTGTGATTTTCACATTAACATAAAACCATTACAACCATGGAAAATAGAAGACCCGCTCCACTGTGAAATTATTCACACTCCACTAAAACAATTATATACATGGAATATGAGAGGATATGATGTGATATGAAATTTTTGTTTTGACACAAAACCATCACAAGTATGGAAAACAGAAAACCTGTTTCACTCTGAAATTATTCACATTAAAATTAAACAATCATCAATGGGGACATGGGAGGATCAAGGTCATATTTTTCTGGCTGATGAAAAGTAAGAAACAAGGAAGAATATTTGAAAAAGACATTACAAAGAACAATATATAGTGAGTTCCTCCTGTGATGTGTTCATTATGTGGGTTCTATACTGAAATGCATAAAAGTTAAAGTTGAGGGGGTTAACGTCATTGTGGGGTATCCCAAATGGCCTGGTCTCTCTCTACAGAACAGCTAGCCACCTGATGACAGCATCATACAAAGCAGGAACTCTGTAGCTCCAATGACTATCCTCAGGGATCTCCGTAATATCCAAACACATCCATGAAATGAACCCTCAACCTACAGAGCTAGAAACAAACAGCTTCACCACGTTGCCAGGGAGATCTCTTCTCAGAGTCTCAGGTGCTGTTTCTCAAATGTATACATGTAAATATTGATGTTACAATGTAAAGAAGATTTGTTATGTCTAGAATATAGACACTATGGACAATGATGGGTATCAAGAAACAACTTGCTCAGCTTGACCTTTTTGAAGCTACTAATAATTTCATCCTTATTTTAAAGAGGCCCATAGCAAATAATAGTAGCATTAATACTGTAAACTATCATACATGTCATACATGGCCACTAAGGATGTTGGCACGGCACTGGTGATCTAATCTTTAGAAGGAAAAATCAACAATAGCAATAAATAGAGAGACAGAGACAGAGACAGAGAGAGAGAGAGAGAGAGAGAGAGAGAGAGAGAGAGAGAGAGAGAGAGAGAGAGAGAGAGAGAGAGAGAGAGAGAGAGAGAGAGAGACAGAGACAGAGACAGAGACAGAGAGAGAGAGACAGAGATACATACAGACAGACAGAGACAGAGAGAGACAGAAACAGAGAGACAGAGACAGAGAGAGACACAGAGAGAGAGAGTTGGGTGGGGGGAGGGGGGGAGGAACCTGTCAACACAGAGGAAAGAAAGAAAATGGAGGGAAAAAAACTCTTAAGGATTTTAAAAGTTATAACAACAGAGAAAAAATGTCAGTTTGCCACTGGCAAATAACTAAAGGATGAACAGACATGCTCTTGATCTAACAGATTTTACACCATCAAAAGATCTCCTTACGCATACTGCATCTGTGGGCTGTAAAAAGCCCTTTGACAGCTCTGATAAGGAATGTCTTTGAAAAATGATGAGACAAATTAAAGATAACTAACTTCACAATAAACAAAACTATGTGGTGCAGGATCGGGGGAGGGGAGATGCAGTGATTTGCCTAAGGAAAACCTAATGGATACGCTTAAAAACTGACATCTGTTCAACAAGAACAAAAAACAACAGCAAATTCATTACAACTATGTTAAGATTACTGTAGAACTAATACAATCTGCCAAAGAATTAGAGATGTAAAAGGGCAAGATGATCTAATCTAAGTCAGTTAGCAAGATGGAGAATCTTTATACACAAAGATGTATGCAAGTTTGAATGTAAAACACACATATATTCACACAAACAGACATCATATTACTACAATGATACTCACTTTCACATTGAAACCAAATCTTCCTTTTTCATCTGGTTTCATCCGAATTGTAACAAGGCCTTGGCCTTCAGGATGGCTTTTTCCATTGGGCTAACAAAAAAACAAATTAAGAAAAATTTTACTGTTCTAGCAGAAATAGCCATAAACTTAGTACACCTAAGCAAACCAAAATGAAAGTTAAGAGATTTAGATAAATTGATTATTCAGTCCAGAATTTTAAAAAAAACTAAAAAAAAAAAAAAAAAAAAATACAAGCAATATGGTAAATCAAATCTGAAGGTGGATACTAACGTAACAGTGTGGTGTATTAAATAAATCTCCCCCTCCTCCTTCTTCTATGTGGCTTCTTCGCTTGGTGGCTCGGAGTCCACTTTAAAAAATGTACAACCCTCAAAGGGCTAGGTTTCGATTTCTGCAGCATATATTTTTGTTCCCTTTATGGCTCGGACACTGCTGCCCTCATCATAACACATCAGTGAGTGCCTGCAACATGGCCTTTGAACATTGCTGCCCTCACCATAACACAGCAGTGGGTGGCTGCAACCTGGCTTTTGGACATTGCTGCAATCACCCTAACACAGCAGTGGGTGCCTGCAACCTGGCCTTTGGACATTGCTGCCCTCACCCTAACACAGGAGTCGGTGCCTGCAATCTGGCTTTTGGACATTGCTGCCCTCACCATAACACAGCAGTGAGTGCCTGCATCTGGCTTTAAGACATTGCTGCCCTCACCATAACACAGCAGTGAGTGCCTGCAATCTGGCTTTTGGACATTGCTGCCCTCACCATAACACAGCAGTGGGTGCCTGCAATCTGGCTTTTGGACATTGCTGCCCTCACCATAACACATCAGTGGGTGCCTGCAATCTGGCTTTTAGACATTGCTGCCCTCACCATAACACAGCAGTGGGTGCCTGCAATCTGGCTTTTAGACATTGCTGCCCTCACCATAACACAGCAGTGAGTGCCTGCAATCTGGCTTTTAGACATTGTTGCCCTCACCATAACACAGCAGTTGGTGCCTGCAACCAATCTTCATAGTGGAGATGCCATCCCCCCCCCCTCCCCCATTTCCTTCACATCTTCACTATCCCATTCTCTACGTTGCTTAACTACAATTCTTTTGGGGTGGCTATCTTTATTCCACTGACCTTGTGGGTTCCATCCTTCCATTTACCAGATCACAGCATTGTGAAGCAAAGATTCTTATAATGCTGGTGGGTTTTTTTAGGAATTAAAGTTAAAGTCAAAGTCCAGAGGACTGACTTTACTGCACCCAGTTTGACCACATATGGCTCAGTCTCCTTCCTAGAAAGTAAAAGCGGCTGGCCTGTAAGGACCACCTCACCTACTGAGTGCTGATTGGTCTAAAAAAAGCTTAACTGACCCTTTTCCACGCTTTCATGCGTAATGGACATACATGGCTAGGTGTATATTTTAAAAACCAATCAGCACTTGGAGTTTGATGTGGTCAGTATCTTGCTGACCACCTTTACTGCCCAGGACTTCTACATGGTCCCCACTTAAGGCTGTGTCGACCTGGCAGCCAAAGGCCATTTTTTTTTAGAAAGAAAAAGCAACAGTCCAGCGAACCCACGACTTTTGCATCCGTAGGTGATCATCTAGCCACCACACTACGGCAGCTCCACTAATTATATGCCTGATGCGACAGAGGCCTGAAAAAGGGTCTTTGAATTTGACGCAGCGATCCCATTGGTGGCAGCTGTGAAAAAGCTCACTGAACAGTTGGGAAAGTCAGAACGGACGGCCTATGTTTCAATTATTCCAGACTAACCGTTAAAGCAAACTTGGACAAACACATTTTATCCTATTACCCTGGATGTAATCTTAAAATCGTGTTCTCTAGATTCACATATTTATAGACATGCAATATGTTGTGGAGGAAAATGTCACAAAAGCCCTTCAAAAAACAAAAAAAAATCCCGCATCAACAATAGGAAAAATTGCCCGAGCTCTTTAAAAGTTAAACAGGCAACTGAGCTTCAGTCCAAAAGTCAAAAAAACATTCGACATTCACGCTTTAACTCCTTTCCCCGACACCCTTTTTATGATCTACTCCTCCCCTCTCCTCACACACAAAACACTTTTTGCAATGCCAGCAACATTCCTAATTTACACTCGCCCACAAACCTTGATACTACACGCATGGTCACCAAACCCTCCACCCACTGTTATCTGAAGAACCCTGCTCACATGACACGAAGTCGCCTTCCTCTACCAGTGCATAGGGTTTTATCCCATATGGCTCGGTCTCTCTCCGCAGAACGGCTAGCCAAAAGCGTCGCACAAAGCACGACTTTCGTAGCTTAGGTGGGGATCTATGAAATTGCTACACCCGTGAAGTGAACGACGCGTCCGTGAAACGAACCCACCACCTTCAGAGTGTGAGGCAAAAGGCTTGTACAACTCCGCCAGGGAGACTCCTACTTACACACCCACCCACCCAGACGCAGTGCTTTCTATCGATCCTTCTAATACTCTGGCTGAGCGCAAGACAACATGCATGTCAGCCTCTATCACGCACTCCCTGACAAATCCTAGCAACAATCATGATTGTGTCTGACAGTGTCAAAGCCACCTCAAATGCCTGCAACACCGTGCACACTTCTGACGTGCCCCCCCCCCCCCCCCCCCCCCCCCCCCCCCCCCCCCCCCCCCCCTGGTCGCCGCATAGATCTCATGTTCGTGAATCCATTTTTTTTCCCTAATGTTGAAAAATGTGTGGGTTCCAGAATCCCCCCTCCCAACGGAAATCTGAGCCACACTGAATCAGAATGAGGATCTGATTCTAGCCAGCAGCAATACTGAATAGATCAGAAATGCGATCCACAACAAATTCTAAGCTACAGAGTTGGTTCTCCGTTAGATAAGACCATCCCAGCGCCCCCCCCCCCCCCCCCCCCCCCCACTTTTTAAAAAAGTGTCAGCAACGGCTCCGTACTTTATATTATTAGTCATACTGAAGAAATTATAATTGATAAATATTAGAAGTGCAGACATGATTGCATACTGGGGGGTGGGGGGGGGGTGAAGAGGGGGAACAGAGGGTTGAAAAAGTGGGGGGGGGGACAAGGGGGAAGACGGGGGTGATCAATACTATTTATGACGTTTATTTAACAGGCATGGTACCACACACCACCCCCCCCCCCCCCCCCCCCCACACACACACTTTTTTTTAACAGCGTACTGACCACATCCGCTCACCGAGTACAACTGGGTTAAAAGAGTACGAACGGCAATCCATTTCCACTGCGTCACCCGGGAAATAAATTCTCTTTTTCTGCTTTCCCAAAAAATTATTTTCTAGAAATACCAATACAGAACCAAAATACTCTTTTAAACTCAAGCACATGCGCAATAAAGAGCTGTCATTTATCAGCCTGAAAACTAGACGGCAAGCCTTAGCGATAACACAGATATACGAAAGGTCATTGGTAAATTTGATTTTTCAGGCACGAAATAGGGTTACATTCTTTAAGTACCAACGAACTCACCATGCGTTCCTTAGTCACTCCAAAAACAGCAGTGTTTTAGCATTATTCTATAAACTGAAAAATTGCTAAATTAGCTGTTTCTAAAGTATAAGTTTACTGCCCCATACTTTGTGTTTTCCTTTCTGCAGAATCTACTTACTGACCTTATTTTAATCACATTTCGTTACGTGGGTGGGGGAGAAAACAGGGGACGGGTCCTTGCCGTATACTCAAGAGGGGTGTGGAAGGCTTGCCATATACTGGGAAGGGGGGGGGGGGGGCTGCAGACCATCGATTTAACTATTTAATAGCTTCGGGTGCAAGATGTAATTGTATAAAGAATTTATGTAGTAACTGTGAGGTTCCTAAAAAAAAAAGTTAATAACCGCCACTAGCGACGACCTGAGCTGCAACAGGATGAGCAGCATGATGTTGGGATTGGAGAGCAAGCCGGATATATGAAGGTAACACCTTCCCAAACTGCCAAACCTCGGATCAGAATTGTTACAGTGGAACGAAAATGTCAGGCAACTCAATGAACGAAGAACAGGGCGGTGGGTAGGTGGTCACCTTCCGGTCACGTTATGAGACGAAAGGATCTGGAGAAGACTGTGCTACAACAGAAAGATCTGTACTGAAAAGAGGCTTCACGAGCTGGGAAAGTGGTATGGTAAGATAATCAGTGGCATGATCCATGAATGACAGTGCGTTTCTCCTTTCTCGCAGTCAACAGACAGAGCTGGGAAAGTGGTATGGTAAGATAATCAGTGGCATGATCCATGAATGACAGTGCGTTTCTCCTTTCTCGCAGTCAACAGACAGTCCCACTGCTAACAATGGCAATTGCAGCTTATTAGAAAAATAGCTTTTGTCTTTTCCTCAGTTAGAAAATCGCTGAGAAACTCTACTCTCACCACCACCCCCCCCCCCCCCCCCCCCCCCCCCCACCAACCACAATCCCAAGGCCGAATCAGTATCTCGATGTATGGAATCCTGCGTCCCCAGTTCTTAACCTTTTGTAAATAAAGCTTATTCGTTCGTTCGAAGCGATGTCTGTTCTGCTGCAGGGTTCACCTGGGCAGTTCTATATGATAGGTCCGCTCGGCACAGCGGATAATGATACATCATGATGGAGAAAAGTGGCACACAAGCAAACAAAAAAAGCAAGGAAAAGACCAGCTGGTTGTTTTTACTCTAATATATACTCACAATGTTAGTAGCTGGTGCATAAGGCTGAGGCACCCCGACAAGACTGAAGGCAACAGACGATCCAATGCGACTCTGACGGATTTCGATCCGCGGATGGCAATACTGCTGTTGGTTCTGGGATTTGGGCTGTAACTGCTCTAGTAGTTGCTGTCCGTTGTGCTGCTGTTGGTCCTGAGACGTGCGCTGTGACTGCTGTATTCGTTGCTGCCTAATCTGATGCTGTTGGTTCTGTGACTGCTGCTGTCCGTTCTGCTGCTTTTGGTTCTGAGACTGTTGTAGTCGTTGCTGTCCGTTCTGCTGCTTTTGGTTCTGAGACTGTTGTAGTCGTTGCTGTCCGTTCTGCTGCTTTTGGTTCTGAGACTGTTGTAGTCGTTGCTGTCCGTTCTG